TCTCTAGACTAAAGATAGTACATCGTGGTTCGCATTTGCAAAATATTAGTTATCTATAAAATATATATTATGTATATTAAACATATATTAGAAACCTATGAAAAAAAGTGTCGCAACTGATGTGCCCACAACTGTACATAAAACATAATATAAATTATTACAATCAAATTTTGATTTTAGAAAATAAAATAAAATCTTGTTAATATTCATTAGAAAGAATACATATTACGAATTCAATACACAATTATCCAAATTTATATTATTTATAATTATTATAAGTTAATACGTGTGTATTATAAAGCATACATTTCAGTTGCCATAAACTAGTAAGATAAACATAAAATAATTATTTATCGATGTCATACCTTCATAGTACAATGGTAATATTCCACGATACAAATGCGCTTGTCGAGCAACTTGATGGAATCTAGTAACTGCAATAATGGGACAACGTGGTCTATATTTTGCAATTAGATGTGCAGATCGACCAGATGTCGTAATAACAATAATAGCACTAGCCAAGCATTTAACGGATGCTTCGACAGAAGCAATGGCAACAGCATGTGTAGCATCAATAGGCGGCATAGCTTTGCTCGACAGATCATGGAAGATTTGAGTTTGCCAAATCGCAGCTTCTGCTTCCTTACAAATATTGGCCATTGTGCGAACACATTCCAAAGGATAATCTCCCTTTGCCGTTTCACCTAAAAGTGCAACAAAACAAGATTTATAATGCACATTCGGTAATAAACGGCACACCAATATTTCACATACTAGAAATAGACATTAATTTAATCTTTTAAATTTTATTTTCAATTAATCATATTAAATGCATCTCTATTTACATTTAATATACGTTTAATATAGAGCTTATAAGCTATATTTTATATCATTTTTTCATCTTATTATTGCATCTCTTTTCTCTGTTCCTTTCTCTCTTTCATCTTCTCTTTCTCTCACCTCTTTTCTTTAGTTCTTTTATTTTTTTCTTTATAAGTTTTGAAGTATACTGTTTTATCATATTCTTCATTTCGTATGTCTTATTTGGAATATCATTTTGTTCTATCTTTAATTTTTCTAATACCGATATATCAAAATAAATTACCTGACAACATAACACAGTCAGCACCATCGAGAATGGCATTAGCAACGTCTGAAGTTTCGGCTCTTGTAGCACGTGGTTTCTTCACCATGGACTCCAGCATTTGCGTGGCACAAATTACTGGCTTGCCAACTTTGTTGCATCTGCTGATCATAGACTTTTGTGCTAGGAACACCTTCTGCGGTGGTATTTCTATTCCCAAATCACCACGCGCTACCATGATACCATCGGATGCATCGATAATCTCATCAAGATTCGTCATGCCCTGTTGATTCTCGATCTTGGATATGATTTTGATATTTTTACCCTTCTCACCGAGAATGTCGCGGATCTCAGTTAATGCAGCAGCATTTCTAATGAAGGACGCGAATATCATGTCGACTTCTTGTTCAACACCAAACTGAAGATCAGATTTATCTTTTTCCGACACTGCCGGAAGATCCACCGGCACTCCCGGCAAATTCACACCTTTGCGGGAACCCAACATACCACCATTTTCAACGGTCGTAGAGATTAAATTAGGACCTAAAAAATAAGATAAATAACATTCTTTATAATTTTTTTTACAAAGAATTATTAAAATATCTTTTATTGTCAAAGATACAGATCAAAATTTAAGCTATAATATAATCAATGCTATCATACGTTGGAAACATATTATTTAACATTTGAATTTTATATTTTCAAAGATATATGTATACTGGTCCAAAAAATTAAAGGCTCACCTGTTCTATCCTCTAATAGGCAAACTTCAAGATAGAGCAACTTCGTCAAAAATGATCGTATCGAGATGTTCAAAAAAGCATTTTACAGCTTGAAATCTCTACTTTCCAAATCGAT